GATGGTGGATGATCTCACCCAGTGGTTTCATGTAGATGTTGAAAAGGAGCGGAGAGAGAACGAACCCTGAGTCACCCCACAAAGGAGGGGCCGAGGATGGGACCCCTTGCTCCCTATCACCACCATTTGGGAACGGCCCTGAAGAAAGGAGGAGAACCAGCACAAAACCATGTTGCCCACCCCCAATTCCCTAAGTCGGCCCAAAAGGATACCATGGTCAACGGTATCGAAAACCACTGAGAGATCAAGGAGAGCAAGGATTGTCACACTTCCCCCATCCTGCTCCCACCAGAGATTATCCATAAGTGCAACCAATGCCGTTTCCATTCCATATCTGGGCCTGAAACCTGACTGAAAAGGGTCCAGATAATCCGTTTCCTCCAGAACCCTTTGGAGCTGTGATGCCACCACTTTCTCAACCACCTTCCCCAAAAAGGGGAGGTGGGAGACTGGACGAAAATTGTCCAGGGAGGGTTTCTTGAGGCCCTTTGGAGCTGTGATGCCACCACTTTCTCAACCACCTTCCCCAAAAAGGGGAGGTGGGAGACTGGACGAAAATTGTCCAGGGAGGGTTTCTTGAGGAGAGGGTGCACCAACGCCTCCTTAAAGGCAGCTGGGAACACTCCCTCCCGCAAGGATGTACTAACCATTGCCTGGATCCAACCACGTGTCACCTCCACCTTTGTATTGGTTCTCTGCCTTTACACATAGACACATGAAGTTTTTTCAAGGTTGAAAAAGCTACTCTGATAGGGGTAAGTACCTTTATGAGATTACATAGCATCAACTAATTAGAGGTGTACACAGATGTATTTCTCTGCAAACAAGAAGAGCCCATTTCCTGTCATCCTGATCCTGAACAGAATGTGTTAAGAACACTTCAAATTATGCATGTCAGATTATACAAGTCTTATTCATCCCTTTTGTACTTAAAACCAACTGTACTGCTCATAAGGGACAAAATGCTAGCTATCATCCATCAATATCATCACCCTCTGGGGGAGATGGGCAGCATGTAAATGTAATAAATTAAAAAATAATAAATAAATATACCTGTTAAGAAACATTCTATCCTCAGTTATCACTGTTTTATCATTGCTAATAGCAATGCTTTCTGTGCAGAAGGTACAAACAAGAGTGCCAGACATGTAGCATGCATTTTGCGGTGGGATTACCTCATTCTGCTGATTAAACTCCTTGGAATACTAGCTGAGCTGAGGCGCTCTGCAGGCATGACAAATGCCACAGAGTTTAAGAGGAGAAAGAACAGAAGGGCTGGGATATGAACTGTGAACTTGCTTCTTTGCTCACAGGCATTGCTCCTTGGCAATGTCAATCAGCTAACCTTTGTCATCAGCCTCTCCTCTTCCTTATTTTTCTTTATGAGCATCAGCATGGATGCAGAGGGCGATTGTCTTTAATCCTGCAAAACCTGCATGTTGCTAATCACACCAGGTGAAGCTACCAGCTTTTATCCAGCCTATTGGGATGGAGGCTTGTTTCTATTTTTGTCTGACCTCCTGTTGCCTTTCTTGTCCTCAAGGTGTTCACTACTCATCATATCCTTCACTGCTTTCTAAAGAAGAACAAAACAGGCAGAATCCTTGACTATTCATCTCACTACTTTTTTCCCTTTAATGATGGCTTCTTCCACACTTCAGCATTGCAGCTATCTGAGGTTATAACTGTGCCCCTCATTCTCATAATGCCATGGTGCTTCTGGAGATCTTAGCAAGCTGAGCTGATGATTATCTTGCACCAGCTGCTGCTCTAAATGAAATGCTGTGAAGACAGTTTTGCAACATTTCCTCAGATGCAAACGTGGGTGGTTTGCACTCCTGAGAACTCCCCCATTCTCCCAGCTCCCAGCTCCCAGGCTTCCCTTCCAATGTCAAGGCACTTTGCATCTTACCATCCTCCTTCACAGTAGATCTGAAGGGCAGCTTTGCTGACCCCTTGCACAGTGAGCCCCCCCCCCCACCATGAATATAAGGACAGTGAGGAAAAGTTGAAGAGAAGGGGACAGGGGATGAGGGTGGGTGAAACACTAGCTGGAGTTCCATGCTTTGCTCTCTTATGACCATTGATAATAACAGATGATCTCAGACAAGTCCATGGTTGTTCTGACACCCATGAATTCCTGAGCTTTCTCAGAACCTAAAGAGGTGAAGTTGATATTTTGGAGTCTGAAAAGACTTTGGTGGTGGTTTTAAGTCATCTTTGCATCTCAGATTTGTGAATACTTTTTATTTGATGCATGATTAATTTTTTAATTATAGTTCACTAGAATCAATCCATTGTGGTTACTGAAAATCTCAGCCATACATTTGCCCTTCTGTTTGGTTGATAGAAGTATAAAGATGTGGAACCAACTCTAAGGATCAAAGAAGTGGATGGCTTGGAGCTGGTAAAGATGTTTTCCAAAGAAATGGAAAGTATGCTACATAGAAAAGTAGAAGCTGTTGAGGTAAGGGTTATTTGACTCCCAAATTTTATTTACTCAGGAGTAAGAAAAGGAAAGAAACATGGAAAGAGAATAATCTATACAGTGCACAGTGGTTTCTAAACAGAATATAGTATACAACCACATAATGTGTGGGGTTTGATTTGGTGAGAAATAATTCAGCCACAGAGCTTATGCTCTATGTCTTTGTGTGTGTGTACACATACATGCACACATACATACACACACTACACCCCCCCCCCCAAAGGAATTAGTGCCAGTCAGAAAAAATAATATTGTGTTAGATGAAGTAGTAATTTGGGTATAAGACAGCTTTCTATGTTCCAGTGATTCATGGACTCCTTTTTTTCCCAAAGCCACGTAATATACTATATTCTATGCCTTTCATTATTGTCTTAAAGGTAGAATTTCAGTATGCACAAATGCCTTCATCACAAGACAGGAATGTTAGCATCCTTTGCATCTGGTTATTCCTAATTTTAAAAAAATAGCCATATTTCAGAGAATCAAGACCTTGTCACAAATCCGCTGATCAAGATTGCTTTTCAATATAAATATGAGAATACATGCCAGGACCAGTTTTTATAGATTTGTCTCAGGGCACTCATTGTGGCTTCCATGGTTAAGTCCTCATGATGCAACTGCAGTAGGAAGTTGCCTTCCTGTGTAAACAATGAATGTATCCAGTTGCCAATCTAGACTCATTAGCATCTAAGAAGCTGCTTTATAGCAGACCAGGCTATCTACCAGTTTAGGTTTGTTTTGTCCTCCTCAGCTGATAGCAGTTCACTTAGATCTCAGGCAAGGCTCTTGCATCACCTACATTCTGAACTTTTCAATTAGAGATGCCATTGATTTTACTTGGGATCAGGAACAGGCAACCTGAGCCTCTCCAGCTGTCATTGCACCACAACTGGATCTCATCTCTGGCTAGGCATTTGAGGAATGCTAGTTGTATTTCAGCAATATATGGAGTGGCTTCAGCTGCCTGCCTCTACGTAACATGTATGGGCCATGATACTTAGTTATGGTCTCCTTTATTGGCAATCCAATATGGAGCTGAGAGCTTGAAAAGAATATGTTTGGAAAAAAGTGATTCTTAGGGTTTACTCATTTTTACTATGTACATATTCTCCTCCCCACCCCACCCTTATAGGTCCCTGCAAGGTAATGGTTATTTTCCCTGATGAGGCAAATGGTAGCTTTATGGGATGGGGCCAGGATCATCTGCAGGGAATGAACCAAAAAGTCAAGATGGAAACCATTACTGCACAATTGAAGCCATGCCCCCTTTTGGTGTGCATAATGCATGTAAAAAGGATTTGGGGCTTTGACAGCATGGTTGCAGTTGCCATCTTGACCTTTTTGACAGACAGACACACACAAACACACAGATGTCACTGCTTTTACTGTTACTTCCATTTAAGACCCTTCAGGTTTCCTTTTTCTTTCTTTCTTATAGCGATTAGTTGAAGCTGCAGAAGAAGCAGATGTTTATCACGAATTCAACTCATCATTACAGGTAAATTGTATTCATTCAAGTTCATATAATCCATTGTAAAGACAAATTATGTCTCATGTAGAACTCAGCAGGACAACTGTGGCAACCTTTGGTATGACAAGATGGGGAAGCTACAGTCCCCTAAATGTTACTGGATGACAGGTTCAGTTAGCTCCAGTCACTAAGGCCGGTGGTTCAGGAGGATGCTAATTGAACTGTAGCCTCTCAACATCTGGAGGGTCACAGGTCCACCACTCTTGGCCACTGGCTTTCCATCTATGCCACAGTACTTTCTCCTGAGCTTTCAGGCCATAAGCTGCCAAGACTTCTCTCACCCATCTGCCAACCTGTCTTATAAAACTATGGGAAGAATGCCGAAGAATGCCAAAATGGTCTTCCTTCCTATTCCTTCATCCCGGTTCATCTCTAGCATCTCTACATCTGGTCATTTAGGATGGAGAAGCAGATGGCATGGGTCCTTTGGTCATTATCTCCTGACTCCTGGCTTAATTTAGTTGCAAGATTATAGTGGGGCAAGATGGAGAGAACCATATATATCACCCTGAGTGCCTTGGAGGAAGGATTGGTTGAAAATAGCCATGGTAGTAATCACAGTAATGCAGTCTTCCAATGGTTTCAGGATCAGTGGAAAAGCCTCACGTAACCTCCTGCATATTTCCATTGTTTCCAAAAGAAGAAAAGCCAGGAAAAGTCCTCTGTATATTAGAGTGGCTAATGTTGCTTTATTTCCATTGTCCAAGAAAATAATCTGAATAATCTAACCAAGTTTGGGCACCCTCTGAAATCTCATATTTGTCTTTTATTCTTACTATTGAAGCAATCTTTTACTGAATCTTTCACAAGTCTTTGTGGTCTGATCTATCGGGGATCCCCATGCATAAAAATGCTTGCATTTGGAGATAAAATTATTTTCACCAAGCATTCTTGGTTTTAACAGAATCCAAGAACTCATTTCAAATCTTTAAGGATCAGCATGAATTTTAACTGCTGAAAATTGTGTGTTCGTTCTTTTTTGTATTTTTCTTCACTTCCAGTTTGATTATTACAATGCTGTTTTGATTAATGAGAAGGATGAGAATGGTAATTACGTGCCACTTGGGGATGAATTCATTCTGGAACCAAATGAGCATTTCAATAATTTGCCAGTGAACACAACATTCAGTGATATACAACTTCCAACCAATGTCTACAACAAAGGTTCACCTTTCTTTCTCTAGTTTTATTGTAAAAGTGGCATAAAAGTCATAGCCAAGGCTCAAAGCACATATTACAAATACAGATAAAGATGTGGGCTACAAACATACATTTGTACATTGTGTGCATGAATGCATGTACTCTGTAGTATTGCTAGTTGCTAAACTGGACTTTTAAAGATACAACTTCAGGGGAAGAATGCATGCTTTGCAGGTTAAAAAGGGGTAATATTTAGACGTTGACAGATCTCTTGGTCTTGTTATTAATTAAGCACAGAAATGGAGAGTCAGCCATTTATCCTTTTCCTCACTCCAGTATTTATTTATCTGTTCATTCATTCATTCAATTTATATGGCTGCCATCTTGCAAATGTGACTCTGGGTGGCTAACAACACATTAACACTAATTTCACCAGCAGCAGCACCATCCCACAACTGCAAAACCATATAATGATTGCCAAGAAGAAACCTTATAAGCAGTAACAGTAACATCTCGGGGCCATCTAACTTCTGAACCACATGCCCTGGAGAACAATCAGGTCTTCAGCACTTTATGAAGGGCTGACAGGGTCAGGGCTAATCAAATCTCAGGGAGCCTGGCATTTTAGTGTCCCAATTTGAATCCACTTTCTATTTGCTTGGGGTGTAAAATTAGATGTGGGACAAATAAAAGGACTGTGCAAAGCCTTCAGAAGAAGTGCTTTGGGAAACATATTAGCATGAATGAGCCATGTCTTTTTGAAGTATTAAAATAGCTGCGTTCTTTGCAAAGCTAGTGCGGCAGCTTTACAGAAGATGTGGCTATTTTAATAGTTTTCAGAGAACAAGGATGCTTTCAACCCTTTGAACAGAGACGCTTCATTTGCACAACTCTAGCAAACATTATCTTGAGGGGTGATGATTTAGATCAGGAAGCCCATTATAACCCTGCTTTCTTGTTCAAATTTCTGAACTTGGTCATAGACCTGCCAGCCTAATGTAGTTTATTACACATACAACACAGCCTTTCGATCCCACTTTCAAACATCTGCAATAGCAAGCCTCCAGAATAACCAAGTCTGAGCCTACAGCTCACTATTCCAGGTCAACTAAAACTCTTGATTAAATGGATTAATAATTTGAGTTAATATAAGGCAGCTTCATACATTTCCATATGCTACATTTTAAGCTATTGGGGCTTTAGGGAGAAGCTTGGCTAGATGTTAATTAGTTTGTGACCAGCTTGGTATCATTCATAGCTGTTTACTTGGTGCTTATCATTCTTCAAAATGTACTGAATAAAGTTTTTTTGCCTTAGACCCCAACATTGTGAATGGAGTTTACATGTCCGAAGCCTTGGATCCTGTTTTTGTGGACAACTTTGAAAGAGACCCAACTCTCACTTGGCAATATTTTGGGAGCACAACAGGATTCTTCAGGCTTTACCCAGGTAACAGGTCTCAGTCTTATCTTCATTTTTCCAAATATAGGGTTTTAACCTAAGAAAAGGAATAGAGTAAATCAGAAGTCATTTTGCAATCCTAGAGTTGACATAGAGAGTGGATGAACCAGTTGATATTAAGCATATCTTAGATCACCAGTGTGGTACCCAGGGGTGATAGTGTGCCTGCTGCCATGTTCCTAGGTGCCTGCCAAATTCCTTTCTCTATCTAAATTCATTTTTGAGTGTTGGAATCTAACATGTCGCAGAGTAAAACACCATCCTCACGTCTAAATGCCATGTAGATCCCAGACATTGTAGGAGAGCCATGTTAGTCTATGGTAGCCAAAAATCAGGAGGAGTCTAGTAGACTTTTTCAACTACAGGTAGTCATCGCTTAGTGACCACAATTGGGACCAGCAACTCTGTCACTAAGCACCATGACCACAAAGTGGAAAATCACATGACTGCAACAGATTGTTAAGCAAGCAAGACATCACGTGACTGTGACTTGCGATTTTACTGCTGCATTCTCCATTAACTGTTTGTCAGAAGCTGGTTGTGAAGCACACAAATGACGATTACATGACCATGGGATGCTGCAATGGTTGCAAATGTATGCCGGCCGCCATGGTCCCAAATGGTGATCACATGACCGCAGGACACTGCCACAGTCACAAATATGAGGATTGGTTGCAAAGCTGGTTTTTTTACACCATGGTAACTTCAAATGGTTGCTAAATGAGGCAGCTGATAAATGAAGACTACCTGTAATACATTTTATCAAAAGGCATAAGCTTTCCTGCAACTCATGAAGTCGTATGCCTTTTAATAAAATTTGTTAGTCTGAAAAGGTGCTACCAGATTCCTTATGATAAACCCCAGATATATGACTGAATAATGAAATTCCTTCCTACATGTCCCTGGGAGTCTGCAGCCTAGTGCTCGATTTGCCTTCTAGTGTATGGTTGGTTCATGCTTGGCCCAATCATCCTGGCAGCCATTTTGTGCAAATGCTAATAACATGCTTTCAACATTCTGCTTGCACTCCTTGAGAGATTCAGAATCCTATTCTAGTGTATCATCCTGTATTTATTTATTTTATTAATCAAACCTATATCCTGCCTTAATCCCAGGACCCTTGGCAGCTCACAGAATAAGATACAGTAAAAGATAAACATGAAAGAAAGAAAACACAGAGCATGACATTTGGCTCCAAAAGAACTCCAGAAAAGCTCCAACTTCTGCTTTTTCCAAAAGCCAGACAGCTTGGAGACCAATCAATCTCCAACAGGAGGTCATTCTACAAGGCCAACCCCATCATCAGAAAACAATGCTTCCAGGCTTCGGCCCTCCCAACCTCCTGAAAACAGGGTTCAAAATATATATGCATGCTAAGTTGGGGCTTATAAATTCCACAGAGCCACATTGGTGAGAGACATGCATAGAACAGGACTGAAAATCCAATATGTTTCAATAGAAGAGTTAAAAGGAAGTTTCCATAGCTCTTCCTGCAATAAATGGGACCCAGTGTTCCTTGGCTCTTTGAGTTTATTCTCTGTAGCTCAAGCGTGGAGGGTGAATGCAATAATTATTAATTTAATAAGAAGATGAGCTGACCTATATTGCTGAGGACCCTTTAATACACATTTCTCAGTTACTTAGACAAAATTCTGATCAATGTAAGTCTACCTATGGAATGACAGCTGTTACATGGACAGTTGTAAAGAGAGACTTTATAGCACTGTCAGTGCTATAAGGTTGTACTTAGTAATCCAGAGACTCAGGACATGTAAAACCAAATGCAAGATTACAATTTTTATTGTTTGCTTTCTGAACTGAGCTTCACTCACACACACTCAACTATAGTCTACCTATTCAGGTTAGTTATCAGGCCCAGAAGAATCAACATGGAATTCTTTGTTTTATCTGATGGCCAAAGTACTATAGTTCCAATTTACTTTTAAAACTTCTGACAAGTCTTAGTCTTAACTTGGTACTCTTATACCTCCCAATATTTTTCTACTAGGGCCAACACTTTCATCTAGTTCCCATGGAAATCATTTTTTCTTCTATCTTCTAAGAATTTTTATTTTAGTATTTTTTTAAATGGTGCCTAAACTGATAGCCACCAATATATGTCTTTATGGCTTCCTTTGATAAGTCTCACATACTGTATTTATCATAAACATCCATTCATACTTCATGAAAACACATGGCACCAGGCCTATGGCACAATCAAGTGACTATATATGAATATACAACCATTATATTACAGTAACACAAAGACCCTAAAATTGACAAATACTCATACTTTTTAAAAATGCCCTTGTTCTCTGGACTATTCAGGAATAACTTCCTTGTCTTCTGAGTCTGTTTTGCTCTACTGAATAAAGAAAGCCAAGATCAGTACAGTTCTGGTGAGCTTGTCTGGTTTATTTCCCTGATACAGTCCTACCCTACATTTCAATAAAAATGCTGATAATGGATTATGAGGAAATTAAGGACACACATTTCAACATCTGTAAAATCACAATTAAAATTGGCTTATATGATTTTATATTTAATGGCAAGGTTGAAAATCCTATTGGCAGTAGAAATGGCTCATTAATCAAATTCTATCTCTCCAAAGTACTCCAGTTAAATACAGAAAGCAGACAAGTCCTGATATTTACAGTGTAAAGCTTGTGCACTAGAACTTTAGCAAATGTCTTGTGATGTCTCTTCAGGAATAAAATGGATACCAGATGAAAACGGAGTCCTTTCCTTTGACTGCAGAAATCGGGGCTGGTGAGAGATTTAGAAAGAAGAAATCTATATTCATGTATTTGCTTTATTTGACCTTTTTTCTTCTATAAAATTGTCTTGTACTCTTTAGTTGATTTCTAATTTAGCTTTTGGCTTTTCTTCATCCTTTAAAGCAGCCTTCCCCAGCCTACCACCAGATGCCCCACTGGGGAAGGCTGTTTTACTGAGATTTGATGGACTGTGCAAGGTGAGTGTGCATGCTTTGCCACGAAACTCTTCGAGGATACTATTGTTAATTCTGCTGTATTTAGCATTGTTAGTGCTTAGGTAATTAAAAGAGGTTTCTTTTAAAAATGCATTAAAACAATTCCCCCTTCCATTTTTTTCACTTCCACCTGCATCGTATCCTAGATAGTGCATTTTGGTTATCACCTCCTTCTTGTTACTAAAGACCCATTGTGGTTGACTACTAGATATTTCTGGGAATTTACAGGCAGAGTTGAGACCAATGCTCTACTGCTGCTGCTTCACAGAGAGCCCACCCTCTGAAAATCAGTCTAATCAGCCAGATTTAAATCTTCTGAGCTTGGGACTATCAAGCTATGGGTCACACTCTCAAAAATAATGGATGGGACTAGGCAAACTGGACTTGGTTCACTTATATTTAAATATATAGCTATTATAATCACTTTCCAGTCAAGCGTTAAATAATTTCCTTTCTGTCTTACTAAAAATTCTATCTTGGCAACAACTTTTGGATATCTGGGAGTCATATTCAAAGTTCTTGGAGGCCAGCTCAGTGCATTTCCATAAAACAACTTTTATGATTGTTTTTCAGCCACTGTTTGGCTTTTCTATACAGCTGAATAAAGCCTTTTATCCACTCCGCTCTCTTTAATTTTTATGGAAATGTCAAGAGGGGTTTCATAATCAATAGGAGTGATGATGGTATTAGAAAGGGCCATTGTTTGCACTCCATCATTGTGATCCAGAAGAATCATGCATGTTGTAGAAGGCATTTCTAAATTGTGTCCTCATCTTGACATGACAAGAACTGTTAAAAGTGAATCTCATATTTCAGTTACTAACTCTATAATTTTTCTTTGTTTTTCTCATATGAGCTGAATCCTAAAACATTCCAAAGTAATTTTACCTCTGAGAAGCAGAAAAATACTAATGTTTGTGCAAATCTATGCATTTCTATTCAGAAGAAAGCCCTGCTGCTTTTCAGGGAGCTTCAGATGCAATAGTCCAACTTTCTGCTGGACATCCCCCCCCCCCCCCCGCCACACACACACAAATAATGGACAAGTCCATTGCATATCAAGTAATTCAAGCAAGGCACTCTATGTTAATTTTATGTCATTCACCATGATTTATTTATATACTGACACTAATAATGCAAGTAAGGTAAATTGCTTTGAATGTCTTAATTTGGAATTTAATGGACATTCCCTTCTGCCCAGTCTGTTAACTCAAGGTTTCACTGTAACTACATTAGTGGGAAAGAAGAATGGGAAGAAGGAAAGACCTTCTATCACTACTGAGTATTCATTATTTTTCAGCCTAAGTTCCTGTGATTTGTCAGGATTCTCCATTGTATCTCAGTTACATGTTTGCTTTATATTTCTGGCTTCCTTTTCCTATGTTACACCTATCCTAAGGTATATCCAGGCAGCTACATCACCCAAAGATATTGTGATTCTGGTGGACATCAGTGGAAGCATGAAGGGTCTGAGACTCACCATTGCTAAGCACACCATTGTCACTATATTGGACACACTGGGAGAAAATGATTTTGTCAATATTATCGCTGTGAGTGCCTCATTTCTTGAAGCTTTCTTTTCCTTTAGAATCACTTCAGAAAGGTCAGTGTGGGATGGTCTTTGTTTAAAATGGTGACCTAGGAAAACCAAGGTTCAAATCTATCCTCAGCTATGGAAATTCACTGGATGACTTGGAACCTATCCCTATTCTGACTCCAACCTACCTCACCAGGTGGTTGTTGGGGGTTCCTGGAAAAAAGATGGGAAATAAGCCTAACAAATCATCATCACCTTCATTAGATGCTCAGTTTATTTATTTGGGAGCTTCAGCTTAGCGATCTCTACTCCCCCTCCAAACAATTACATCTGCTTTTCATAAAGCCCGTATCCATTAAAGTTACACATGATTGGACAATCAGTCCTTTGACTATCCTGTGTTCAGATATCTATCTTCCACCCAGTTTGAAAGGCTGTAGCTCAGAAGTGTCTGCAGGGTATAGTGAAAAAATGGATGGTGGTCACAATGGTGTGGTTGAAGCTCCATCTTTTTTTTTATGTGTGCTGCAACACATCTGACACATAAAAAGAGATGGGGCTTTGTTCATATCATTGTGGTCACCACCTTGACTTTTTTTACTACAACCTGCGGACATGGATGGATGCTTTCACCTTATTTAAAAAATGAAAGCACACATCATTTTAAGATACTTTTACATTTTATAGAAGTGATTTCCCTGATTGCTTAGCTTCACATATTATTCAAAAAACATCTGACTAAATATATTTAGAATCCTGGGATGTACCCAAATTCTCCCCTTAGCTTGTAGTATTTGTTTCAGATAGAAATTATTTTATCTGGCTTTGGTCACCCAGCAGTTGTTAAAAATAGCTTTTGCTTTGAGATTAAGACTCTGAACAGGCTTGGGCAGGATATTTACTCTCCAGAGTAATTTTCATGAGATTAAAAGGCAAGAGAGCCTTTACATTACCCACTGCCCCCCCAAAAGGGGCAACCTGGCATATTATCCTTGAAGGATGGAGTCATGGGGACATGAAAGAGAGATCTTTAGCAGAGGAAATGTGGAAATGTCCCTAGGTAGCCACACTGTGCTATCTCAGCACTTGGCTCCCTGACCAATCCTTTGTTCCTCCACGCTGCCTGGCTTGGAGCCCTGGAGTAATTTCTGGTCTCTCTCAATAATTTAGCCTGTCACAAAGCTGAAGCATGTGCAGCTGAAACAAATGCATAACCATTCTTGGGGTAACCCTCTCTCTGCTCGCCTCCTTTCCTCCTTTCCTGTTTCCTTTCTTGAATGTTAGATTTTAAGCCACACAAGGTAGAGAAATGTCTTGTACTCTAAAGATTGTGCACAGTGATATCACTTATATCAATAGATAAAAGAATCCCAGCAGGTAGGGTGTAACGTGTTTGTCCTCTCTGTGTTTCTCTTGTTCTTTCTGGGCCTCTCTATTCACTTCTTTGTTGATCTGCAGCCTTCCATCTTGGTCTAACTGTTCCTTGCATCAGGGCTTCTTTCATGCCCTGTAAACAAGGGTTTACAGCAGTTTTGGGTAGTAGAAACCAATCCTTTGAGGCTGTGGCACACTGCCTTTAGCTGCTGCACTGAACACAGGACTCTCTCACCTCCAATATGGTGCCCATGAGATGTCCTGGATTAGGATTATCATTACCCCTGGTCACCATAGGCATTGCTTAGTCTTGCAATGATGTAAGTGTTCATCCCAGGTAATCCAGGCCACTCAGAAGGGCACCATGTTATTGAGTTTTAGACCAGCCTGCTCTGAACATAGTCCTGCAGATAACTGAGACTTCTGGACGATTAAAGATTGCAAGCATGAGTCTGAATCATTTCTTTGTCAGCCACTTCACCAGGTTCCCTGGCAAAATAATTTTGCTCTTGGCATAGTTTATCAGAGTTAAGGGTAAGTTGCTAGAATTTTCCCACACCCGCTACTTTTCAGTTTTATGTCTTAAACCAGCTCCTTAGAATGGTTTAATTCTTTGGTTAATGCCTTTCTGGCAATGTGCAAGATTGATGCAATCTTTCCTCCCCCCCCCCTTTCTCCCCCTTAATTTGGGAAATGCATGTCTGAGCCTCTATCTTCAACTAAGCCACCTTGCAGAACTAATCTTATTTGCTACATGAATAGTTTTCTTTGGGATGTCTTTGGGATGTCTGCATCCTATATCCAAACCAGACTACTGGTTTATTTTCTCTTAAATCTAAGGTTCCTGCTGATTCTTATACATGGTTTTGAGAGAAATAGCCATTATGTCTCCTCTTTGTTTTAAGAGTCAATGATAACATTATTAAAGGCAAGGTATATATATTTAATAACAAATGACAGGGCACTTATTATCTTTACTTTGGTTAATTGTTTTGATTGTCTTATTTCTATGAGTTTGCCATTGTTATTTTAATGGGTAAGCCACTCACAGTCACATAAGTGAGATGGGCAGCTATATAAATGAAATAAATCAATAAATGCTTTCATATTTTTGTTTTCTGTTTTCAGCCACTTTGGTTAGGAACAAGGATCCCACTACTTAGCACTAAATTCAATGCAAATAGCAGTTTGAAATGCTTCCAGGAATCTTTAACTTCTTGTCTCCATTTTTAAAAATGAGATGTAGGCAGTGCCAACCATTCCCGCTTTTAAATGGAAGAGCAGGAAGTGGGTTGTAGCAGGAAAAAGGCAGGGCAGGGACCTGACCCCAATACTCACACCAGTCCACCAGACCTCGCTCTCAGATCTCCATCACAACACCATCTCTAACAGGATATGTGGGAGTGGCTGTTCACTGGGGAATTCTGGGAACTGAAGTCCGCACATCTTAAAATTGCTGAGGTTGAGAAACACTGACCTAGGCAGGCAGTTGTATTGCCATCCCCTGTTCTCGAATGAGCAGATGTCCCACCTCACCTGGAATCTGGATGGAGCACAGCAGGAAACCCCCCTTCTCTTAGAATGAGATTTTGAAGAAATGACTCCAGTTTTCCTCTTCCACCAGGATTATGACGCTCAGGCACCTTTGGATTATGCAGCTTATGAACCCTGCACTGGAGTAATTAAGAAACTCAGGATTTTTATTTTAATGAGCTAAGGATTTGAGGACAGAGCTTAATTGGCTCAAAGTACATGAGGTGGAGATCTGCAGACCAGAACTAGCACTTATTGATCATAAACAGTCTGGGGACACAGACAAGAAGATAGAGAGACTGAAAATTGGAGAACATATAAAATTAACCAAAATTGTGTGAGCAGTTTCTTTAACATTCCTCAGCCTGGGTGCATGAAATCTTTTTTGTTAAGGTATCTTCTTCCATAGGGGCTCCAGTCAAGACCCCCCAACAACAAAGAAACTCCAAACATCCTCCTTCCCGAATCTCATCCCTCAACATTCTTTGGAGAGACAGGCACTGTATTTAGGGCATCTGGAAGAGACCTGAGAAAGCCAGCAGAATTAAGAGTACTCTTATTCTACTATAGAGGGGCTAAACTATTCTGACCATAACAATAAATCTAGAGTAGTCTCTAACTATTATCAGTCTGGTTTCCATTTCTATCATATTTATTGATTTTTCCAGTATGGAAACAGAACAACAATATGCTGCTGTGATAAAAGCAAAATGTTACCATGGAATATGTTTCCAAAAGAAGAGAAATAACATGGTGACAGACTGATGCAGGCAGCGTCCCCTGCCCTCCTCCTCCTTGATCCCCACCAACATTCCTCAGCAGCAATTCCCACTGAAGCTCTTTGAGGCAAGGAGTGGGACTGAACATTCATGGAGCTGGAAGGAGACATTTAGAACACTGAGTGCAAGAACCCAGATTAAAGCATTGCAGACAGGTGGCCATGTAGCCTTTGCTTCGGCTCTTCCAGAGAAAGGAAACCCACCACTCTCTGGGTAATGAGTTTCACTGTCAAGGAGCTGTCATGATAAATAGGTCTCCTTGATTTCCTTGTGGCTTTTACCCCTCTCATGTGGACTATCACCAAGTAAGGGAAGAAGGTGCATCCAGAACATTCTCAGAAGCAAACAAAGCTGCCTGATTCAGTCTTAAGAGGGGTGCAAGGCTAATTAAGGGTAAATACTGGAAAATGTAATTCAGCTGAAAAACAGATTAAGGAAGGAAAAACAGGCAGTGATAGTCAAGGCTATTTGCTTCTTAATTTACATTTTCTTTCCCCTATGTACTGTTGAAACTTCAGTGAAAATGACTAAATTATGTCCTACACATCCATCTTTAGATTTGCTTCCCAAAAGGCAATGAAAATTGTTTTGTAGCACTTTGCATTTTAAAATGTATTTCTTGCTCTCAAAGCCAAGATGACATTTTGTAGCTATAAGGGCTCTTCATTATTCAGAACGAGATCTGCTCATGCTTTCAGAGTTCTTTAAAAACATTTCTTTTTACAGCATGTAATTTTCCCCCTTTTGTCTTTACAGTACAATGACTATGTTCATTACATTGAATCCTGTTTCAAGGGAATCCTGGTTCAAGCTGACAGAGATAACAGGGAGGTAAGTATTAAACTTGAAAAGAAGTTCTCTACAGAATATGGCATGTAAACACTGCTAACTTAAAGGCCCATAAACTGTTATAAAACATATTTAACCAATGCTTTTTCTGCCCCTGTGAATTCTGTGGCTATTTTTATACATCCAAAAGCTAGCTAAGTAGTTCAGTCATGAAAGCCCATCTAGGGAATAGTAACCCTAAAGATGATACTGGGTTCTAACTCATGATCTGAAGCAAGAAATGGGGAATCCAAAATATCTACAACAGTGTTTTTCAAACGTGGCAACATTAAGATGTGTGGACTTCAACTCCCAGAATTCCCCAGCCAGCATACTTCCCCACCTTCTTCCTTCCCTACCTTCTATCATTTTTCATTTAATCTTTTGGTTCATTTGTTTGCTTGTTTTGAAATGAAGGAGAAAAAATGATAAAAAGACAGACAAAAGTCCTGGATGCATCTTCATCACAAATTTATATTTCTTCAACCAAAGAACCATAAAACTTAAGGATTTGAGAGAATGTTGAACGTTTTTTAAAAAGTGGCTCTCCAATGACTACAGTTGGAGACTAGATGATGAATAAACTATTTTTAATCATTAATGTAGAGATTCTCAGAGACTAAGAAAGATTGACATTAATATTTTAAAGAAATTGTGAATTCCATCATGAGGTTTGGGGTTCAAGATGACTTCTAGATATGGAGAATAAAAGCAAAAAAGAAAGCTTACTAGAATGTTATGATAATTAGGGGCAGCTGAACTAATGGGATGTGCCAATCTGGGAATTTCTGAGTTTATTGGAAAAAGGAACAGGGGCACGGAACAATATACTGATGTCAGTGGTGGCCCAGAGGGAGGTAAGGGAATGGAGAAAGGAATATGGTGGGAAGATCAGGGGCAGGAATTGCTGAGATCACTATAGGAAAGAGCAGGCACAGGGGCCATGCAGAAGAGAAGGGTAGGAGAGGAGGAAAATGCACCAACCTTTCCCTACTTGCCCTGTCAAATCAACCCAAGATCCTTCCAGGTTTTGCTTCGTCTAAAACCCAAAGCAACAAAAATGTCTCAGGTTCCATTTCTGCTGAGACAGAGACAGCCCCAAATGGTTCAGCATGATTTGTTGGGGTTTGAAACAAAAGACATTTTCCATTTTTGTATACACACCTGGTGGCTTCTTTTAAGAGTTCTAGGTTACATGTTGCCTTCACTGGAAAGTATTACTTAGGGCACTGTTTCTCAATCTTGGCAACTTTAAGTTGATGTGTGGACTTCAACTCCCAGAATTCCCCAGCCAGCATGTT